TGCTGCTGCTGCTGCTGCTGCGGCTGCCCGCGCCGGGCTGCTGCTGCTGCTTCGGGCTCTCGCTCAGCAACGCCGGGAAGCAGCCTGCGGACACCAGCAGCAGCAGCAGCAGCAGCAAGTGGCTTTTGCTTCTCTTGCTGCATGTTCGAAGTTTATTTGGATCTTTTTGGATCTTTTTATGCATCTTAAACACATTAGAAATAAATTTTCAAAAATATTCAAATATATTTATTTGACTGCCAGAAAGTGTTCAAAGGCAGCAAGTGAAACAAGAGAAAATGCTGCTCAACTCCTCAGCTGCCCTCAGCTCTAAACCCTAAACCCTAAACCTTAAACCCTAAACCCCAGCTAGCCTACACCTCAAGCAAAATCAACAGAAACGAACCAGACCCTCCGCCCTAAACCCCAACCTCTAAACCCTAAACCCCAAACCCTAAACCCCAAACCCTAAACCCCAAACCCTAAACCCTAAACCCTCACCTCGAGAGGCGCTGGCGAGGGCGCCGAACAAACAGGCGACAAAAATGCAGGAAGGAGACGTGCTGTACGTACACCCCAACTAAATAAAATTAGAAATAAAAGAAAATTAAAAAAATTAATTTTAAAAGCAGTTTGAGCTCAGATCGGCAGTTGAAGTGGTTCCAGGGTTTAGGGTTTACCGGGGCTGAGGGTTTAGGGTTAAAAGAAGGGTTTAGGGTTTAAAGAAGGGTTTAGGGTTTAAAGAAGGGTTTAGGGCTTAGAAGAGGGTTTAGGGTTTAGGAAAGGGTTTAGGGTGTAGGAAGGCGTTTAGGGTTCCCAAGAAGATTTAGGGTTCAGCGTCTAGAAAAGGGTTTGGGGTTTAGAAAAGGGTTTAGGGTTTAGAAGAGGGTTTAGGGTTCAAAAAAGGGTTCAGAAAACGATTGAGGATTTAGAAAAGGGTTTAGAAGAGGGTTTAGGGTTTAGAAAAGGGTTTAGGGTTTAGAAAAGGGTTTGTGGCCCACCCAACCACGAAAAGCCCCGCGTACAGCACATTGCATGCGCTGCAGATGAAAAGCAGCCACTGCGTTGAGGTGTGGCGCAGCACCATTGGCAGCAAGACCACCTGCAGCAGCAGCAGCAGCAGCAGCAGCAGATGCGAATGGGTCACAGCGCCAACGCTGCTGCTGCTGTAGCGGTTACTGCCCCTGCCCTTAAGAACTTTGCCCCCCGTGAACAGTTCCGGCCCGCTTCTCCCACTGCTGCTGCTGCTGCTGCTGTTGTTGCTGCTGCCGCTGCTTTTGCATGTTACCTGAACAAGGATGCCTGCTGCTCCAAAAGTAGTCATTATGAATGAGACCTGCAGCAAGAGAATCCGCAGGGGCCTTTGGCTATGGAGCTGCAGCTAGCTGCCCATTAGCTAATAGCTAGCTGCCACTTGGCTAGCAGCTAGCTGCCCATTGGCTAGCAGCTAGCTGTCCATTAGCTGGTAGCTAGCGGCCCATTAGCTAGCAGCTAGCTGCTCACTAGCAAGCAACTAACTGCTCATTAGCTAGCAGCTAGCTGTTTCGTGGCTAGCTAGTTGTCCCGTGGCTAGCTAGCTGCTAGCCATGCAGGCTGCCCGGGGTTCTCGCAGCTAGCTGCTTGGCTAGCTGCGCCAGCTGCAGCACACTTGCTCAGCTAGCTAGCCCTCTACGCAGCCAGCAAGAAGACATCTCCGCTCGCAAAGGCTTTGCAGCAACAAGCTGGAGCAGCAGCAGCAGCAGCAGCGACAGCAGCAGCAGCAGCCGTAGAAGCAGCAGCAACAGCAGCAGCCGTAGGAGCAGCAGCAGCACCCGTAGGAGCAGCAGCAGCAGCACCCATAGGAGAAGCAGCAGCAACAGCAGCAACAGCAGCAACAGCAGCACCCGTAGGAGCAGCAGCAGCAACAGCAGCAACAGCAGCAACAGCAGCACCCGTAGGAGCAGCAGCAGCAGCAGCAGCAGGGTACCTGGTCGTGAGTGAAGCGGAGCTGGTGCTTGACGAAGGCCAAAGAAGTTCCCTGCATTGCTGCATTGAAAGAACAGTGCATGCAAGTCAGCAGCAGCACGAGGGGCTGCTGCTTCAGCAGCAAACGAAATGTTGCACCCACAAGCATCACGTGCAGCGCCAGCGCCTGCAGCAGCTTCCCTGCTGCAGCAGCAACGCCCTGTAGGCCCAGCCGCGGCTTCTCTGCGGCGCTGCCTTCAGCAGCACCGCCCCCAGCAGCAGCAGCAGCAGCAGGTGCTGCAGCAACAACAGCTGAGTCCTCCGCTATCGACGGCAGCAGCGGCATCCCCTCTTCTGTTTGCTTCTGCAGCGCAGCACGAACAGGCGATGCGTCAAGGGCGCAGCAGGAGCTCATGTCGGGAAGTGAGGCGGAGAAGCGCAGCGGTTGCTGCTGCTGCTGCTGCTGCGCAGCAGCAGCAGCAGCAGCTGCAGCAGCAGCAGCAGCAGGGGAGCCGCTGCCACCCCCTGCTGAAAAACTTGTCGCTCGACGAAGAGACAGCACAGAGAGACCATCTGCAGGCCACAAAGTTGGGGTGTCTACTTCTTCGAGAAACTGCTGCTGCTCCTGCTTCGGGGACTGCTGCTGCTGCTGCTGTTGTTGCTGCTGCTGCTGCGGCGGCCTGCTGCTTATGGGGCTCAGCAGCAGCGCCAACGGGTGCAGCAGCCGCAGCAAAGCCGCCACCAGCATCAACGCCTCTGGGCTTTGTGTCACACGAAGAAATACACCGCCAGCCAAACTGCCTGCAGCAGCAACAGCAGCAGCAGCAGCAGCAGCAGCAGGGATACACAGGGAGTTCACAGTCTCAAAGCTACCTGCCCACTTAGCCCCATGTGGTGTGGCCGTGGGCCGCAACAGCAGCAGGACCCGGAACAGCAGCAGCAGCAATGGCGGCAGCAGCGACACCAGCAGCGACGACAGCAGCAGCAGCAGCAGCAGCGACGACAGCAGCAGCAATAGCGGCAGCAAAAACAGCGGGCTCACCCAAAAGCAGCGATCCGCTAACAGCAGCATAGACGGATGAGAAGCTGCATCAAGGCAGAAGCACAAGCAGCAACGCCAACTTCTGCTGCTGCTGCTGTTGCAGCCAACGCTATGAGAAGTAAAACACCCCACACCAGCAGCAGCAGCAACAGCAGCAGCAGCAGCGGCTGCAGCAGGAAAAGACTTGAGCCTCACCAGGCCACCCTCTGCTTTACGTCGTTCCATTCTGCAACCAAACAATCCCCTAAAAACCCTAAACCCTAAACCCTAAACCCTAAACTCTAAACCCTAAACCCTAAACCCTAAACCTCTTTGCCAAGCCGCACTGCGCGAAGGCGCCAAAAGCAGCTCCTTGTCGGCCACACAAACTCAAGCGCTGGTAGCAGCAGCAGCAGCAGCAAAAGCAGTAGCAGCAGCAGCAGCAAAAGCAGTAGCAGCAGCAGCAGCAAAAGCAGTAGCAGCAGCAGCCGCAGCATCGCGCTTACCTCCAATCCAGGAAGAGAGAACCTGCAGCAGCAACTCAAACCCCATCCGTTAACCCTAAACCCTAAACCCTAAACCCTTTAAAAAGAAATAGCTGCTGCTGCCAGGGCACTCGAAGGCGCCTCCTAAGGTTTGAGTATTGGCTTGAGAAGAAGCGCCACGTCTGGCTAGGGTTTGGGATTAGGGTTTAGAATTAGAGTTTAGGGTTTGCAAGAAGTTTAGGATTAGGGTTTAGAATTAGGGTTTAGGGTTTAGGGTTTGCACGAAGTGGGGGCGCACCACAAACGACCCAGTCAGCGGCTTCCCTCCGAGTAAAGCAGCTATAACCCTGTAGCAGCAGCAGGAGCAGCAGCAGCAGCAGAGGCCGCAGCAGGTGTGTACGGTGGAGCTGCAGCAGCAAGTGCGCCGTTTCTGCTGCTGCTGCTGCTGCAGCAGCAGCAGCATCCAGCGCCCGCCACGCAGACCGTCAGATGGAGCCTCCGAAGGCAATTAAGAGAAAAAACAAAAGGCTCTGAAATGCGAAGCAGCAGCAGCAGCAGCAGCAGGGG